AATATTTGTTCTGTAAACTGAGTTTTATCTTTTATGAAAGCATATTTTTATTATATTTCTCTTATAATTTTTAACACAATATAAAAGTATTTAGCTCTTTCCTGCACATAAAAACAAAACCAGATAAATTATGTTGTTTCCGTCTTTTCTTGTTTTTGATTAGCAAAATATTTGCTGTAGCCAAACTCACGTAGATGAATCAGAGTCGAGAGTTGGCTTGAATAGTTGAATATGCAGCCCACATTATCGGGAAGTTTCCGTTGAATTTTAGCTGAACTGTCCAATGCCGGAATGCAGTCAGCACGTAGTATTATTAATCACTGGCAACACAATATTTATTTTTTTACAATGCGAATTTCAACATGACGCCATCAATCGATACACCTCACTGACATTGAGGTACTTTAAATAGAAATGATGCTTAGCCAAGGCGCTTGGCGCTTTATCATCATGATCAGAATGCAATTGTGATAAGATTAGGGTTAATCATGCTGAGTCAAACGCCTTGAAATCTCTCTTCCCGTCTATCTCTGGCAATTTAGTCATTTATTCAAATTAGCAACTTGTACCGCTAGCCGGCAAGAGAAGCCGGTTCAATTAACCCCAAAACAAGTGCGCGCCGGCAACGACAATGAAATATTAGACACACTCGTACACTGAGCGAAGCACTTTGAGAAAATGCGAATAGTTGTGCAAGCGTAGTAGCTAAGGTTGTGCATTGGAATGCGATTTCGATTTTCCAAGACTAAAAGAGGATTCTCATTCATAAATATATAGCAATATATAGCATAGTGCTGTTTCTCTCAGTGTAGCCTCACAATGCGACAAGTAACTAGAAAAATGTATGCCACAAGGTGAATGCTTCATGTGGCAGACACACACCTCAGCCCACGCAGCTCAGGCAGCACAGGCAGCTGCCCAAATCGAGCTGAGCGGCTTAAAGTTGCGTTTGATTGTTGCCAGCCAGGCTTAACTTTCTAAGCGATGCCACAGAGATGCTGTTGCAGCAGTTGGTGTCGTTTGAGCTGCTTTCGACGGCTCGACTGGTCGACTGCTCGACAGCAGTTTGGCTGTTTGGGCGCCCTGCCTCTAATTAAATTAGCGTCGGGCGCGCGTCTGCATGATTAGGCTGGGTCGTGTGGAAAACTGGTTTTCCCAGGCCCACTTGCAAGAATGTCGGAAAATATCACAGCGATCAGCAGCCAGCCAGTGTTGTCTCTGCCACAATTTCCGTGTCTGCCGCTCGGGCAGAACGTGTCTGACGACTGTGACCCAGCTCTCAGCCAGAAGACTCTGTTGCAGACTTCAACTTGGACTGCAACGGCAACGGCGATGGCCAACGGCAATGGCAATGGCAATAGACTGGAGACTTGGCAATTTAGCCTCTGCTTCTTGTTTATCTGTAAATTAAATAGTTTTCCGCAGTTGCGCCTAACATCATAATTCTTGGAGCTGTTTTGCTTTGCTTTGCCTGATGCCTGATGCCTGATGCCTCACCAAATACTGCCATGTCATCGCGGATTGCACTCCATGGATAACATTTCTCTGAAAGCTATTAAAAAAAGAATTCCTACAGCCAGAAAATCAAGATATATTACAACAATAAATTAGCTTCTGTTGTATGAATAAGATATGTGAGACTCTGCTTTAAAAATATTCTTTGATTTATGAGCAAACTTATTCAATTGTAATAAAATATACAAAAATATTCTTTTCATTATGAGGTATATATTTACAGTTATTAAATTCATGCAGACTCGCTTTTTAGGGAACATCAACTCCGTTCTTTCATCATTTAGTCAGTCAGTGTAATTCAGTAAATTTTTTAGATAATCAAGAATATTTAAATATTTGGAAAAATTGATTTAAATTCCTATAATTTTTTACCGCTATTTTCACATAGTGTAAACTGACTATAAATGAGCTCTTTGAGCTGCCAAAAACCCGAAGAGATAACATCAAGCACTTACGATTTACATTAAGTTGCGGCGGCCATTAAAGGGAACCCCCCTAGAGTTCTCGAAGAGTGGAGCGCATCATTGTTGCCACGTTTCGTTGCATGAAGTGGTTGCCTCTGCCGTCTCACGATTAGCTTTAATATGCATATACATATATCTTCACACTTATGCATATGTATGGGCTCTTATGTGTGGTGTCTGAGAAGGGTGTGGAGGGGTCTAGGGGCTTGGGCGGGGATTGCGACTGGTTAATATGCATTAACTGAAGATATTTATCGCAGTTATGGCAAAACTCCATGGCATCTATTAGCATATTTCTGCATAGTTTACAAGCGAGAACAAACAACAAACACATCCACTCAGTGGACAGGCAGTTCCAGTTGCTTCTTGTTATTGTTGTTGTAGTTGTAGTTGTTGTTGTTGTTGAATAAACACAGTTAGACATTCTCCGGAGATTGTCGGACGACAGACGTCAGTCGGCCGGTAGCCGGCATTTGCCAGCCTAATTAGCCAAATCATCTTCTTTTTTTTGTAGCTTCTCCGTCTCTCCGTTTTAATTGCTGCTTTCCCAATAGCTGAGAGAGGCAACTTCACAAGTTTACAACTTGACAACTCCATCAAATATATAAAAATGCGAAAATATTTATATACATGTATGTGTCAATGGAGTGAGCATTTAGCTGGCAATTAATACATTTGTCATTTATGCGTTAAGTAAACATTTTCCAAATGGCCATCGGGATGCGAGCTCAAATGGCCACGAGCTGACAATTTGACGGCTTTTGGCAGGCAGGCAGGCGAAACTAGCCGGTCTCAGCATTATCATCATGATCATCATCATCATCATCATCATCAGCTTCAACTCCATTCTGGCCAATCTTGAATCTCTCTCACAAGTGGCACCAAAAGTAAACAATGCCGAATTGCAAATTTCGCCAATGTTGGAGCAAGGCTGCGTTTGGCCATAACAAGTAGAGCCCCACTTTATGACTATATATGTGCATACACATATACATACATATACATATACCTACATACACATATTTAGAAATATATATGTATGTATTTTGGTGTATTTGTTTATGGCGGAGCTGTATCAGCAAATGTTTTAATGGCTCGTTGAGCAGCCAAAACAGCGGCAAAAGCATTCTACTAGAAAGCGCCCAATAGACAGACAGAACAGAATTCGATGTGTTGGGGGTAGACAACGATATACCCTGCAATTGCTATTTCAATATGATTATCGTATAGAGTTTAATATATTTGAATAGCAGGCTAAGGTATGAATATTTATGTAGTTTATAATAATGAATATATTAATTGTATATAGTCTAGTCAGAATTGAGCTATATTTAAACCTTTCTTATAATTAGAGTTCTATTAATTTAGTATGTAGTTAAGCCCCAAAAATAATTAAGAAAAAAAACTAGTTCACTTTTCATAAAGCTATTATTAATTTCTTTGGCTAAAACAGTTTAGTTTAGTTTCATGTTTCTGTATATAATTACATTAGATTATTGTCTCCTTCGATTATGTAGAAACTATTCTTAAAATAAAAAAATTTTTTTTGTTTTTGATTGCTGAAAATTGTTTTAAGATATTAATTTGACAGACCTAAATAATGTTTTTATATACATATATTTTTTGATACAGTCTAATTTTAGCATATTCATATCAAATTAAAATATAACAAAAATTATTTAGTTTTATATTCATTATTGCTTTCACCTCCCTTTCTATAGGGTATAAATAGCTATGCATTGCATATGTAGATTTAAACTGCCTACGCATGCACATACAGATGTACGTCACTGTGACTGTGACTGTCGTCACTCGAATATGACATGCGCATGTGTTGCATGTGCGCATGTATGCAATGTGTGGCTGCTGTATTTGGTTACAATCAGTTAAGCGGGGTGGCCAAGTTAATGTTAATGTTTCGCTAGACTTTCACTATGCTGTCTCAGCAACAAGGTCGCAATTGCAGAGACAGAGAGAGAGGGAGAGGGAGACAGGGGAGAGTAAAATATCACCTGGTTCCACTTGATTAGTGCACAGGTGCTGGCTCTCTATGCTCTATGTCTGATAAGGTATCAGTGCGTAAAAGAACCTTTCACTTTGCTTCCATTTCCATGCTTATCAAACGCTCGTAAAATCGCTTTGGACTTGGTTCAATAAACCCACCAAAAATAACAGTTTCAAGCATATTGTTTTTAATTAGCTTAATTCGTTTAACATAACAAAAGATATTTCGTCTATGGCTATGTGGAATTGACATCACAAGGCAAGACAAGAGAGAAGAGAAAAAGAAGAAGAAGAAGGAGAAGGAGAAGAAGAGAAAAAAACAAACAAAATGAGCAAACCGGCTCGGCGAGCTGGTCGCGTGCACATTAGCCCTGAACTTGACCAGGCCAGCAATGCGAGGCAAATGCCGACTCTCAAAGCGATTTGCTGTTGTTGTTGTTGTGGCCATAGTTGTTGTAACAGTTAACAAATGCCTTGCACATAATTGGCAGCTTGTTGCATGCAACAAGTTCTGCAACAACGGTGTTGCCATTGACAGATGATGCCCGTCCAGCCAGTTGCTGTAGATGCAGTTGCAATTGCTCTTGCTAATAGCCAAACCTGGTGCGATCATTTAATAGACATATTAAGTTTATGACGGTTTCGAGTGCTCGTAACGGTGGTCCTCGTTCTATTTGCCGGTTTGACAACAATCGCAACTAATTCAACAACTGAAATATAACTAAATCACGACATGAGCAATAGCTTAAGATTGCTAGAAATAGAGCTTCATTCACCAGAGATCATTTATAGAGACTTTAGAATAGATATCAAGATGTACTTAAATTTTAATATTATTATATAATATTATTATCATTATTATACAATTTTGAGAATAGACATCGAGGTATTCAGGTATTCGAGGTATTCTAGCCTTAAAATGGATATTTTAAACTATGCAAAGTTTTTCACGTTTAAGATCTTTAAGTTTTCCACACCTTTAAACTCGATCTGAAATGTTTTCTCTTCTCTTGACAGATTCTTCGGATATTGTTGACTGCAAGCTGAAACTGATATTGGGTCTTATATGGACGCTCATTCTGCACTACTCGATATCGATGCCCATGTGGGATGGCGAGGATGAGAAGCAGTTGAACGGCTCTGGACAGACGCCCAAGCAGCGGTAAGTAGCTGGACACGTTCTCGAAATGCCAGGCACACCTTTAACTCTTGTCATTTGCAGCCTGTTGAACTGGATACATGCCCGGATACCTGATATGCCCATCAATAACTTCACCAACGACTGGACCACGGGCAAGGCAGTGGGCGCATTGGTTGATGCCTGTGCGCCTGGCTTGTGCCCCGACTGGGAGATGTGGGATCCCAAGGACGCAGTGCAAAATGCTTCGGAAGCTATGGGTCTGGCCGATGACTGGCTGAATGTGCGTCAGCTGATCAAGCCGGAGGAGTTGGTCAATCCCAATGTGGATGAGCAGTCCATGATGACATACTTGTCGCAGTATCCCAACGCCAAGCTGAAGTCAGGCGCTCCTTTGCGTCCCAAGACGAACCCCAATAGGTAAGCCCTTATCTGACTTCCTTGTTTTATCTTCTTAAGTGGTATAACTGCAATTAAGGCACGTAATATTATCTCTGAGAACTACTCAAGCAATTGTAAAGTTTTCATAACTTTTCTCTCTGGACTAAAAGCAACTGCAATGCAATTGTCTAAACCCACTTCTTAACTGACAGTACCAACTGATCTTCTAATCTTCTCTTTTTCTCTCTCATTCTCTCTTTCACTTTATTTCTCTTTTTTCTTTTTTTTTTACCACAAAATTTAAATATATATCTGGGCAAACCTTTTAATTTCTTGGATTTGGTTTCTTTCATTTTGGTTTTGATTGTTACCAACCTGATCTTATATAATGTGTATATATCCTATATATACTACTACCTGCCTACCAATATATTTATTTGTATATATATATCCGAATATATATATAATGTCTGAATGTCTGAATATTGCAAATCTCAGCATTCCTCCGCCGCGGTAAGTTCGGCATGCTTCTTCTTGTTTTGGGTCGCTTTTTGTCGGCCGTTTTTATTCTTTGGTTATTTTTTTCTGTTATTTAATTTTGGCTTACGTTTTTGATATGTTTTCGCGTTTGGCTACTTTATGGCATTTTATATCCGTGCCCGCCTCACATGATTTAAATGCTCTGCCAGTTTTATATTTTTGATCTTTGCATACCCTAGCGGAGAGCATATTCCGTCTATCATCATGTGTGTCACGTATGTTGGAGTCGAGTGTAGACGTGGTAGGATCCTTAGGTGTAGAAATTTGTTAGATATTTTCAAAGTCAATATTTTCAAGCTCGAATAACCTACGCATATGATATCAGATTCTTGTTTCCTTATATCTAAACTATAATTTTCAACTTGGAAATATTTCTTCACTGCAATTAAATATGCGTAATGCTCATGTTCTCTTTGATGTCTATCCAAACTTCTCAAAATTTAAATATTTTTTCTTTGAAGAAAATCTTGTTTTACACACATTTCTTATAAATAAGAATAAATTTTTCTCCATGTCTGCTTAGGGCATTTCATTTTCGGCTTGCCGAAGAATGTTTAATTTTTGTGTTTTTCTCTGTTTTTTTGGAATTGTTTCTTTTGTTATCTGCGGCTTTACTTTGTGCCTAGCCTTGAGCGCGCGTATCTAATGGATACTTCAACACGCCGGTCGTCCGGCTTTGGCTTTGGCTTCTGGCTGCCCGCTGCTTTTAGTTGTTGCTGTTGTTCTTGTTGTTGCACAGGTCTCCGGACCCTCTTCTTGATGTATATACCTGAAAAGTCTTGTTCGCTTGATTAGCGCATTTGGAGCTGACAAACTATTAGCACAAACTAAACAATTTATTTTTGTTAAGCTTATGTTGAAATGTGCCTTCAGTTCATTTAAATTTTTCTAAATGAATATTAAAACATTTATTTCAGTCGAATTAATTTGTATATATTATACTATATTATAGTTAAATTTCATTAGCCGCATAATATTATTTAAAGATTTCCATTTCAATTTATAAAATGTTATCATATAGCTGAGGGTCACCATAAAAAATCGCTGCATACTTTTAGCTGCTGCGCTCTAATGCTGCCTGTGCAAAAAGCGCTGCATACTTTTCGGCTGCAAAAAATGTATAGTTATTCATATGTTAATAATATCTTGTAAACGTTAATGATTGCTAACTTTGTATGTGAAATTTGAATGCATTATAGACTAATTAAATGTTTCTCCTTATCGCAGAGTGCGCGCCTATGGACCCGGCATTGAGCCCATTGGACCCGTAGTTGGTGCTCCTGCTAACTTCACTGTGGAAACTTTCAGCGCAGGCAAAGGTAAGTCCAAGAGAAGCATAAAGAATATATTTCTTTAAACAAAATCTTACACATATTCCTTGCAGGTATTGTTGATGTTGAAATCGAAGGACCCGACGGCGTGGTGGAGAAGGCCGATGTACGCTTCAACAATGACAAGAATCTCACCTACACCATTTCGTACATACCCAAGGCTGAGGGTCTGCACAAAGTGGCCGTGAAGTATTCGGGCCGTGACATACCCAAGTCGCCATTCCCCGTTAAGGTCGAAGGTCATGCTGGCGACGCCTCGAAGGTGAAGGTAACCGGCCCTGGTATCCAGCCGACGGGAGTGACCATCAAGAAGCCGACGTTCTTCGATATACTCACCAAGGATGCGGGTCGCGGTGTGCCCGAGGTGATCATCATTGATCCGGCCAACCACAAGACTTCGGTGGCCGCCAAGGTGCGTCAGTTGGAGAATGATACTTGGCGCTGCGAATATGTCACCGCACTGCAGGGTCTGCACTCGGTCAATGTGTTCTATGCGGGCACGCCCATACCAAACAGCCCGTTCCCCGTGAAGGTGGCTCCGTTGTCGGATGCGCGCAAAGTGCGTGTCTCCGGCCGTGGGCTGCAGGCGACGGGCGTGCGTGTGGGCGACGATGCGGACTTCAAAATACATACCGAGGGTGCCGGCGAGGGTGTGCCAGAGGTGCGCGTCATTGGACCTGGCGGCATGAACCAGAATGTCATGCAGTCCAAGGTGGATGGCAATACGTATGAGTGCCATTACTATCCCACCAAGGAGGGTCGCTATGTAGTCATGATTACGTTTAGCGGACAGGAAGTGCCCAAGTCGCCGTTCGAGGTGAAGGTGGGGCCCAAGAAGGAGTCCTCGATTGTGGCCTACGGGCCGGGCTTGAGCAGCGGCGTCATCGGCTACCCCGCCGCTTTTGTGGTGGAGACCAATGGCGAAACGGGCGCACTCGGCTTCACCGTGGCCGGACCCTCCCAAGCGGAGATTGAGTGCCATGACAATGGTGATGGCTCCGCATTGGTCAAGTATCATCCAACTGCCGTGGGCGAGTATGCTGTGCACATACTCTGCGACAACGAGGACATACCCAAGTCACCGTTCATAGCACACATACTGCCGCGCACCGACTTTCATCCGGAGCTGGTCAAGGCCATCGGACCGGGTCTGGAGAAGAACGGCGTGACCATCAATGAGACGGCCACCTTCGATGTGGATACCAGCAAGGCGGGCAATGCGCCGCTCGACATTGTAGTCCAGGATGTCTATGGCAACAAGCTGCCAGTGCAGGTCAAGAGTAACCCCGATGGCACCAAGAAGGTCAGCTATACGCCAAACTCTGGCGTGCCGCACACTGTAGAGGGTAAGCTTCATATACTCCCCATTTGTGAGCCTCACTAATTGCTCTCTCTTCACTCAGTTAACTATGGTGGTGTCTCCACGCCCAATTCGCCACATCGCATCTATGTGGGCGTGCCTGTGGATGCCACAAAGGTGCAAGCTTTTGGACCCTGGCTGCAACCGGGCGTCCGTCCCAATATGCCCACTCACTTCAATGTGGATGCACGCGATGCTGGCGACGCGGAGCTCAAGGTGAAAATCGTGCACGAGGACACCAAGTTGGAGGTGCCATGTCGCATCATCGACAACCAGGACAACACATACTCCGTTGAGGTCATTCCACCCATGAAGGGCGCCTACACAACGACCATGACATACGGCGGACAGCGTGTGCCGTTGGGCCAAAAGGTGGTCGTCGAGCAGACGGTGGATGTGTCCAAGATCAAGGTGGACGGCCTGGAGCCCAGTAAGTACTCAAGATCACTAATATTCCTCATCCCGTCTAGCTCTCCTACATATGATATATATTGTGTGCACATCATGGTCTAAGTTCAAGTCATTTCATTCATTCACAAGCCGCGCCCCTGAACAGTTTGCAGCAGTTTCGTATTATTACCCATGGTCTGCCCAAGGCGGATCTGGCTGTGACCATAACGAGTCCGTCGGGCAATCGGGTGAAGGCGCACATCATACCCACGGCCGAAGGTTTTCTGGTCAACTTCACGCCCACGCAGCTGGGCGAGTATTTGCTCAGCATTTGCTTTGGCGGCACACCCATCACGCCACGCCCCTTTCGTTTGCAATGCCTCACGGGCAGTGATTCGAACAAGGTGCACGCCTACGGCCCGGGCCTTGAGCGTGGCATTGTCGGCCAGCCGGCCGAGTTTATGATCGATACCCGGGGAGCGGGCCAAGGCGGCCTGGGCGTCACCGTCGAGGGGCCATGCGAGGCGGCCATCAATTGCCGGGACAATGGCGACGGGACCTGCAATGTAGCCTACCTGCCCACCGAGGCGGGCGACTACACTGTCAACATAACGTTCAACGAGCGCCACATCAATGGCTCTCCATTCCAGCCGATCATTGTGCCCGTGCCGAATCTGAAGAATACGCGAGTGAGCGGCATCGGCATACAGCCGCATGGTAGGCAATGATGCGAGTTCCAGTATCAAATACCACGTACCAAGTTACCAAGCTCCAGTTGCTGCCGCAATCCGCAATCTGTAATCCGCCTATACTCTAATCCCAGCCAGCCCGAAAGTCGCACGCAGCTGACCCAAGGCTAAACTTCTTGCTGTTGTTGTTACTGTCGTTGATGTCTTGTTGTTGTTGTTGTTGAAAACTAAACCATTTGATACACTAATCGCACCGCATTGTTGTTGTCCCATGGCAATTGCCTCGATCTGTGCTAATCCTGCTGCTGATCTCCCTTTAGGTGTCATCATGAACGCCGACACGGACTTTATGGTCGACATGAGCAAGGTGGGCAGCAACATCGAGTCTGGCAAGCTGTCGTGCGCCATCTTCGACCCCATGGGTCACGTGCTGCCCAACAAGATGGTGCAGGGACCCACCGACGACATTTTCCGCATCATGTACTCGCCCTTCGAGGCGGGTCGTCACACGATCGAGCTGATGTATGATAATATACCCGTGCCGGGCTCACCTTTCGTGGTGAACGTGAAGAGCGGCTGCGATCCGACACGCTGCAAGGCCTATGGACCGGGCTTGGAGAAGGGTTTGACCAATCAGAAGAACAAGTTCACCGTGGAGACCAAGGGCGCCGGCAAGGGCGGCCTATCGCTGGCCATCGAGGGCCCCTCCGAGGCCAAGATGACCTGCACGGACAATCGCGACGGCAGCTGCGATGTCGACTATCTGGCCACGGACCCAGGCGAGTACGATATAACCATACGCTTTGCGGATAAGCACATACCCGGCTCTCCGTTCCGTGTGCTCGTCGAGGAGACTGTGGATCCCAGCAAGGTGAAGGTCTACGGACCGGGCATCGAGCACGGCCAGGTCCGCGAGAGTGTGCCAACGGTGTTCAATGTGGATGTGGGCGAGGCTGGTCCTGGCCGCATTGCCGTCAAGCTGACCAACTCCGAGGGCATACCCGTTGACAATCTGAGCGTCGAGGACAAGGGCAATTGCATTTATGCGGTGCACTATGTGCCGCCCAAGGCCGGTTCCGTGCTCACCTGCCAGGTGAAGTTCGCCGACGAAGAAGTGCCATGCAGGTGAGTGCCTTGACTTCTACTGCCCGCGAAGCGCTCTGCTCAAATGCTTCGCTTGCAGTCCGTTTGTGATGACCGTTTTCCCCAAGTCCGAGGCCACCAAGGTCACGGTAAAGGGCGTCAACGAGAAGAAGAAGACGCCTGCCTCACTGCCCGCCGAATTCGAGATTGATACGAAGCAAGCCGGCCAGGCGGACATCAATGTGGCTATTAAGAATCCCAAGGGCAAGCGCATGCAGCCACGCCTAGAGGAGGTCGCCACTGGCACCTATGTGGTTTCGTTTGTGCCCGATGAGTGCGGCACGTATCAGTGCAGCATCAAGTACGGCGACAAGGAGATCGAGGGCTCGCCCTTCAAACTCGAAGCATTCCCCACCGGCGAGGCCAAGAAATGTAAGCTTGTCGAGGAGGCGCCCAAGATACAGCCTTCAGGCAGCCAGTCGCACCTCAAGGTGGATGCACGCGAGGCGGGCAACGGTGCTGTCACCTGCAAGATAACCAATAAGGAAGGCAGGTTAGTAAATCGGAATGGAGCGCCATCTAGCGGATGGTAGTAATACCATTTATTCCTGCAGTGAAATCGTGGACATTGATGTTATCGAGAAGGATGGCTTCTTTGACATACTGTATGCCCTGAACGATCCCGGAGAGTACGATATCAATGTCAAGTTCGGCGGCAAGGATATACCCAATGGCAGCTTCTCCATTAAGGTAGTCTGAAACAAAACGAACTACAGTCACATCTAGTCATAAATTGATTTGTTGAAAGCGAACAAAATTAGCAATTATTATCATAATCTATTTATCTCAATCTAGTCACATAAGCAACAAGAACAACAAGAGAATACTCTACACGTACATGAAATTCTAGTCGAATTCACAGTCATTTTGGGTGTTTGTGTTTTTTGTGCTTTTCTCAATGTTAATGTCAAATTGTTTTTGTAAAAAAAATGAACAAATTAATTCAAATTCGAAACACGCAAACAATTTACCATATGTACGTACATGAATATATATCTATATATGTATATACAGCATATGTATATAAAGCATATGTCAAGCAATGAAGACCCAGCAATAAAACAAAGAGAATACAATTTAAGTGCAACATTGTAAAACATGACAACAAAATAAATGAAAACAACAACAAAATCAACGTTTTGTATACAAAGACAAGAATATTTCGAAACTTTTCGAACTGCATGCGAATGTTAAACGTTTTCAAAATTTGATTTCAACCAAAACAAGAATGCTCTGCTCTGCTAAATTACAATATGCGCTTTATTTGATTCGATTGTTTTAATGCTTAATTAGTTTACAAATTACTATGCGTAAGTTGTTTGTGTGTGTTTGTAATTTGCCAATTGTTAACTGCCACTGTAAGCCATAGACATGCATATGTATATATATTTAAATAAATATATATATAGATGTTTCTCTTTTATATCATCAAGCAAAAGCCAAAACGAAACCCATACACACCTGACTTGGTTGCGCTCAATTTTCGTTGCTTCAGCACATTGCCAAAAATAAACTTAATTTAATAATTTATAATAATTGCTAATTTAACAACAAATTTATTTGATTTTAATATTATCTAACACAAAACGTATTTTTAAAAAAGAAATATTTTTATCCCTATAATTTATAGATTTTGATTAATTTAATTTAAACATTTTTATCTAACCCGATACGTATACTTTGCACTATATGATTGATATTTTGTTTTTTATTTTAATTTTAATTTTATTTTTTTTATTCTTTGTATGTCTGCCTCTTTGAGGTGCTATCTAAGCGTATGAGGTTGACATCCATAGCGTTTTGTCTGTGTGGCTTTCTATAAATTGTGTGTACTAGTTTCTTATACTAAGACATATGAAATACTGGTTCTTCTTTCTATTGAGTATAGAGTAGTACTAGAATAGCAGCACTATATCCTCTATATAGCTATCAGACGTGCAAAACTGAAATTTCTGCTAGATAAGTCGTTCCAAAAATAATTTCTTATGATGTAATGAAAACGTAGTGATTCAGCCATCAGTTTCAATCTCAATCTGAGTTCAATCTGCTCTCAATCTGAACTATATATTGAATCAAACTTGCAAATGTTGTCTGCTATTAATTTGTTTCCTTATTTTTTAAATAATAATAGGATACTCATGCATGCTGTAGATTTGTATATTCTTTCTGGTTTTCAGCAATATATGATTATGTTGTAAGTACACATGCTGACAAGTTGACAAATGAATTGTCAAGATAAACGGCAAAGGCGACTAGCTTATAAGCACTGACAGCACCACAGCAAGAACTCACACATGCACACCGACTCAGACATGTATATACTATATATAGAAACTGTTTTTTTTTCTTATAGCAAGTTTCATTGGCGGGCACTGTGCCCAGTATAAAATAATTATTTGATTGAAACTAAGATTAATTATCTTTAGTTTTGATTAATAATGTTTAGTTGAGCATTAAACATTAAAATATTGTGTGAAAGTCCAAGAACCTACCCATCTGGTCTTTCTAGTTGAGTTTAATGTTTTTATTTGGATAGCCCTGCATAAAATCAAGAAGTTCATTGCTTTGATCTACTTTGTCTACGTGACATTTATCGCATTGGCCCTATTTGTGTTTCAAGTTTTTTAAGAGTGCTATAAAATGTTGAAAGCACCCACACAGTCACACAGGGAGAGGAAATGGTTTTTAGGTTTCAATATGTCTTGGCTGGATAGGTAATTACAGCTATTTTTAATGCACAAATGTTCCAGCTGATGATGCTGATGATATTTAATAGCTGCTAGAATACTACGAAAATTTTGATTTGATTCTATGAAGACTTTTGTTGTGGATAGATTAGAAAACATTTTGGTTGCTAAAGAATAGGCTTAGTTAATTGCTGCATTTATTTTAAAACTTTTTGGTTAGCTATGTTAATAATTCTATATGAGATATACCCTGTAAATTGATGCCACTAGTAGTCTATTGACAGTCCTCAAGAGCAAACAAAATGTAAATGATGTGGAACATAAATTAACACATTGTTTACAGTCCAACTGAATTACATTGAATTAATAATTAACAATATTTACAAAGCTAAATTTAACTAAAAACAAAAAAACAACAAAAACGAAAAAATGAATATAAAATTTGGTAGCTGTAAATATTTTTGAAATTAATTTTACACAGACAAAGGCAAAATTTTGATTATACATAAAAACTATAAATGTGTGAAATGCAACTATACATATATATATATAAGATTTTGCTGAATTATAAAAAAAATATATATATGTGTGTATGCTATAAAATATATAAATATTCACACACATACATATATATATGTATATTAGAAATGGTGTTAAGAGCAGCGCTAAGAGACCGCTGAATCACAGTTGTTGTTGTAGTTGTTGTTGGCATCCGCGTGGTCCGCACGAAATATCAAGTATACGCCGCCCATAACAGCGTCTGTTCATGCAATTCATGTGCTGCAGCTAAAAATTTGCAAGTAATTAAAATAAGCACATTAAATTTACATACACACACACACAAGTTTTGCATACGTATGTGTGTGTGTGTGCTGAATTTGTTGTGGAAACTATTAAAGATTGGCAAGAAGCGATAGAAGCAGAAGAAGAAGCAGAAGCAGGCGACTGAGTGAGTGGATATACATCTTGTCAGCTACTACGACTAGTGGCCTAGGCTAGTCGCGCATCCGTTCTTAGTTCAAGTTTGTACACGTCGCCGTCGTCAACATCGTCATTAACGCACTGTCGCGCTTTGCAACACTGGAAGTTACGAAAGTGGAATACTAGAATTTGTGACGTTTCCTAAAAGGCAGGTCATACATACATGGAAACCAATCTATGACTGTGGCACCTGAATCTATTTCGAAATATATATATTTTTTTTACATTCGTATATATGTATATATAGATATTTTTGCGAAAAACCCTCGTTCGTATGCCCATCTATTGATTGGCTGCGAATTCGCGTTCTTCTTCTTATTAATAGCGAAAATATTTTATTGAGATTTGTATCTTTGACTTTTTTCATTTTTTTTTCTTCGGTTGATTCTGTATATTTTCAATATAAATATTTTGTGCATTCAATTCAATGTGATGTGCTTATGTAAGAGCAATTGCTTGTGGAAATTCTTAGCACATGACTCGATAAGGGGAAAGAAAAAAGAAAAATCGTCAATCAATGCCACTTCCTTTCGACTCGACTTAATTTAGCTGTGTGTGTTTGTGTGCGTGTGCTTATTATTGTAATGCTTTTCACTCTTTAGCAGCTTCATTAGTTCTCTTCCTCTTTTTGCATTGTTTCACACTTTCAAGTCTTTTACTCTTGGACTCATCTTCTTTTTTTCCATATCAATCAATGCATTGGTTCTTAATAATAAGCAGAAGCAATTGAACTATGTATTCATAGTTCTAAAATATTTGCGCAATTTTCATCACGAGTGCAAAGTATACGAATCGAAGACACATATATATACAATATATATGTATATATGTCTATATGTCTGTAGTACTCAGGATTGTGTTCTGATTTCGAAATCTTTGGCCAATCGCATGTCTGGCTGTTGTTCCATGCATTTCAATAGAAATCTCAAATTTACATACATATATACATATATCGGGTGAATAATTTGGGCATTTCGATTTTGATTTTCATTGACCTCAGGCTGTCGAAAGCGTCGAACAATACTCGCACAGTGAATACATCGAGGAGCATACGACCAAAGTGGTTAAGCAGACAACAACACAGGTGAGCAAAAAAAGAAAAGCTGATAGAGAAAAGGTGAAATGCAGAAGAAGATGAGAAGTATAAAAATAAATTATATATTTTATATGTGAAGATTTAACAGAAAATTATGAAAGTGTAAGAAAAGAAAAATGAAAATAATTGAAGAAAAAACTAAAGAAATATTTTAACTAATGCTGGCAAATTTTAAAAGAGTAACAAGAATTATTTGATTGTTTAAATATAGTCAAAAGTTTTGCTAGTTTAAATATACATCATACAACAAAGACAGTTGCCTAAAACAAAATATTAAGTTGTTAAAACTCGAAAAACATTGGAGAAACATAATTGACGATGCAAGAACTGGCTGTCTGTGAACTTTAACTAGTTATAGAATAATAAGAAAGAAATAAGTTCAGGCTGTTTTTGTATATATGTATATCTGAGCTTCAATTCTTATATTTTGCCATCCCCATCCGAATATCTAAATATTATAGAGCGAACTGGTCAACGGAAAATCAGACGTAACATATCGAGCTGTTGCCTTTGAGAAATTGCCACTACCCACAACAGGCGGAAACGTAACTGGTATGTAATTTTTTTCTCTCTTAGTTTTTTAACAATATATATGTAAATATTATATATATTTAAATATTTAATGAGAGTTGTTGAAAATATTTTTCAGTATAAAAATTCCTTTTGAAAAGTCAAAATTCCCATTAGGAAATGTTTGCTATTTTTCATTAAAAATTTATATTTAAATTTAAATTTTACGCTTTAAATTAAATGCAATTTGATTTGTTTAATCAAGAAAATATTTATAATATTATTGCGCCATTAAAGCAGAGGCTCGTATTTGCAATTCAGTGCAAGCTCTTGGCATCTTCCATTGTGCACGAAACAAGCAAAAATAGAAAGCGAATGTGTCGTAAATCTTGAAAAAAAAAAATCTCAAAAATAAACATATTTGTGTAAACATATGAGAAGTGCTACGACACCATGGATAAGTGACAGAGCCAATGTGCCCGAGAGTGGAACTGAGACTGAGTCTGACAGAATGCAGCTAAAGATGGGCGGACAGATGAACTGTCATAAGTTTGTCGGCTTATCGGGTTAATTGCTGACAGTCGGACAGCTTAATTAGACAACAACAGTGACAGCGACAATGACAGCAAGTATGATCTTCCAATGGGTGCTGCTTGACTAGAAGATACTCAGAACTCTCTCAATATTAATAGTGATTATATTTATAAAGAAAAAGTATTACAACCAAAGAAATTCAAACAAGACTGTACGTGAATCGTAATGAATGTCTCTATTACTTGTAGTTTTATTCTTCAGTTGAAATAACGAAACTTATTAGGGTTCTCTGCATATCATAACTCTTACCGTACCTAAGGATTCTCTACTATTTACTACATACTTGCTTTATTATTTACTATATTTTGCTTTCATGTCTATGCAAAGCACAGATTCTAAAAACATAATATACCCTATAACACAAGTCGAATTATATCTAGGGTATAAAAGAACAATGTCAACAGATATTTCAGTTTGTTTTTGTGTGAGATCTAAGAAATAATTTGATAAAAATTTATGTTATGCCTCGTATATATGTTATATGTTGTTAGGTATGCAATGCGAATTTCTTTTGTTTATGGTTCATTGACTGCGCTCGCCTCAGCGTGAAAGTAATTAAAATTTGTGTTTTATATTTGTTAATTAGCTAAATTGATGCAGTTTTGTCGAGGGATCTACGAGTTGTAAAACGCTTGCACACGATTTTATTAAATTCTCAGCATGATTGATGAGCTGCTTTTGCATTGGGATCGCGCTTCTTTTGCAAATCAATAAATAAATATGCTATATATAAATACATAGACATATACGTATAGGAGAACATATAGAGATATATTTGTATCTGAGAGGTAGTCGCCGCCTGTTGCAAATATTTGTTCGAATTTTCACGCTTCCATGCAATTTGGCCAAAAAACAAGAAGAATTCGAAGAAAATAGAGAGGAGGCCAAAACTGGGTCTGTCGTCTACTCATTAAAGATCGTGCCGTGCACGGCGGCCACGTTTCATTTGTGGCAGCGAAAATCAATAAACTGCCCACCGTTTGCTGTACGGCCAAGCCTCAAGTGTCGCCCCTGTTTGTGGCACATGTGGAACGTGCAACGCTTTAATGCTGCGCTCCATTTCGTTTGAAGATGGTTCATTGTAAATGATTCGTTTTGCCCAAATGACATTATTTGTTGCGCATTTGTCGCACTCATTATTCATAGCTCATCAGGGCGACGAGCTGTCGAGTGAACCAACTTTATTCACTCACAACTTGTGGCTGAAAGTCTTCTTAACTCTCTCAGTGGAACTGCTTGAGTATAATCTATGTATGCATAGCTCTAAATAGAAATAACTGCACAGAATAGAATACAGTCTTAGAAGTAAACGATTTCATTCCGATTTGAAATGTGTACTATGTACTAATATTTATAATATATTTATAAATATATTACAAACTGGGCTTTAAATGGAACAGAATTAGTTTTTTATTTATTTTTTATTTTATTTCTTATAAAGTGCTTACTTTATTGCCAATTTTTGTCTTAATTGAGCTCATTTGCAAATTAAACAAAATTTAGTTATATTAAATTGATTTTCAAATTTAAAATTTGTTGACTAATTGTATTCTAAATGTTTTGCTGCACTTATTTGATTGATTTTGGCCAATTGCATTTTGATGTCAATGCCAAATATATTTAAGATTTACCAAATACAAAATCAATTACATAAGAATATATAGATATGCACACATATCTATATACACATATCTATCTACATACACACATATTTATCGATACGCGTTTACACAATTAATATCATATAGACTATAGAAAAAATCTCAAATACCGTTTGACATAATGTTCCAAGCATTTTCGACATTCCACAAAATTTTTTGTATATCTCATTTTTTTTTAATGTTTTATAGCTGGACATAAAAAAATATATATCGAAATTATTTTTAAACATTTTTAATGGGCAAATATTAATAAGTTTGATGTCGTCTGTGCAGCAATAAGTAATAAATTCTATTTCCTTTACAATATACACAAACAGAGAAAGAGAGAGAGAGAGAGAGAGAGAGAAAGGCAGAGAGTGAGGTAGATAGATATGATTTCGAAATGCATAAATTAATTTTATATGTGCAAGTTTCGAGTTCGAAATACGAAATACGAAATTCGAAATGACAACTGTTAAAATGTCCCAGAGAGACAAATACTAGGACATGTTCAGCTCGAATGTTTTAGCTATGTTCTCTATATACATATATGCATGCAAACGCACACAGACACACACACACAGACGCACACACTTGTCATATGGCAAATATTTCCAATTTATTTATTTTATTTTTTTTTTATATATTTTATATATCGTTCATTGGCTCTGCTGCTGCTGCCTACTTTATAGCAGGCCTCAACATCGGCAGCCATATATTTTGCCAGATCCATAAGTGTGTGTGTGTGTGTGTGTGTGTGTGTGGGTATGGTTGTGTGTGTGTTGGCTGATCTATGCTGCCAACGTCGCTGCTTCAGCTGCTGCTGCTGCTGCTGTAGAGACGCATCTCTGTGCTAGGAACTGGCATGCTTTTATATATTGGCCTTAATTTCAATTTGGAACTGTCGATGTTCACTTGAAATCGGGACGTAGAGACGCGTGGACCTTTTGAGAAAGAAAACGTCGCTGGCAAATTTCAAATCGTGTCAAACACATTAATTGAGCAGCATAATTAAATTCTGCACTTAAATTCAGCAATTCAGTGTGTGCGTGTGCGTCTGTGTGTGTTGTTGTTGTTCCTTATGCGTCTGAGTGTTAAGGATATTCGCGCACAGGACTTGATGAAAGACATTTTGTTGTAGCTTCTATTCAATTGTAATTCTAGCCATATGCTATTATATAACGCGTTTGTAATTTCCCTTTAAGCGCGTGAGTGTTCAGTTCTTGTTGTCAAATCCTTTCAATTGTTTGCCCATTTTGTGCTGCTCAGCCAGGATCAGCAAGGATATGCCCAAAAAGGAAAAAAGTGTGTCTGCATATCCTTGCTGCTGCCCGCTGCTCAGCTAAAATGCGCACAACATTCGACGTGCTGTTAAAATTAAATTGTTCTAAATTTTAAGTGTCTTTATTTCAAAACCCAAAAACACGTGTTTCGAAACTCACAAAATAACACTAAAATTATAAAATTATAAAAATTAAAAAAATAAATATCAAAACGAAAATTGCCTTTACAAAATGCACTTCAGTTGGTTATCTGAAAAGCCACCCACGCCGGAAGCGACCTGGGCCGATCATTCATACTATTTTCGATCCAATTACTATAAAGTGACCGTCTCTGAGCGCGATCATCCGGAGCGTACACACGTCTACTTCAATGAGACCATCATACCGGAGAATCAAGGATTAAATGGTTCAGATTTTATGCCCTTGAATTTCAAATCATCTTTTTCAATTGTAACACATCAAGGTAAAAAAAAACTCAAACTTTGAATGCAGCACAAATTTTCGCTAAAAAAAAAAAAAAAACGTAGTAATAAACTCCAAGTTGTTTTTAGTTAAAAAATTGCACAGTTAAAAAAATAGATACAAAACCCATAGGTCAATATAAAACTGCAACAAAAATGTGAAAAATAAAAAAATAAATTCATAAAATACATAAAATTTAAATAAATAAAAAATAAATGTGAAATATTCATCTACATTTACAAAATGTATTGAATCTATGCTTATTTTTTAAATTTTTTGATAATTATCCTACATTTATTTTAAGTTTACAAATTTCCCTGAAAATAACTTGATAGAAATTAAATCAAACTTAAACTGCATAGGAAGATCAATCAAATGGTAGTGCACATTCCATTCGATGGAGTTGTCTCTGCCCCACTGAACATATACCAAAATATCTTGTGGTTGCTTCCATATATACTTATAAATAATTATATTTATATATATATATGGATACATTTGATTTTACTATTTTGAAATTTTGCCAGGCCGAAATGACGTCCACGACTTTGCCGTCAATAAACCCAATTCCGCTGACTAAAGCCACAAAAATGTCTTCTCATTTGTGTTAATGGCCAAAATCTCACCAAATGTCTCCGTTTGAAGGCGGCGCTTGGCCACACACATCAGCACACATTACGACCCACACACACCTACATACACTAAGACTCACACCCCCACATCAAGCAATGCAATTTTGAATTATGAGCAAAAGCATTTCAGATATATCTTTTGTAGTATATATGTATACGTATATCGGAGCAACGCATTTGTCTATTGGCTGGCATTATGCTCGTTGCTGCAAATTAAATTCTATGATTTATTATCAGAGTTTGCAACAAAGCGTAAAATTCGTTTGGCCCCTTGTGCAGTGCTGCTGCTGCGTGTGCTTCATGCATAAATTATAGCTTACACTAGCCAACAAGTGCTGAAAGTGCATAATTTATTATTACATGCACAGTATATATATTCTAATTGTACTGAAACATTTTGAAAGATTTGGGGCTTGAATCGCTTTAAAGTCATTGCATGTTCGTAAAAATTTATATTTTTGTTTCATAATAAATTTTAATTACTTAACAAAGTGTGTGACGAGATGCTGTATTTGTAGACACAATATATACAATAGGTTTTCGCATCTATTAAAAATAAATATTCAAAATATTTTTTTTTTTTTTACATTTTAAAAGATTACAAAAATTGACTGCTCTGATAAATTAAAAAAAATTTAGGTAATCTATAAAAATAATATTAATAAATAAATAATCAATATGAAAATAAAAGTGAATACCATATAAACAGTAAAATGAAAAAAAAAAATATTAAAAATAAAATAAATTATTAAAAAATAAAAAAAAAAGTAGATATTAGAGCTCTACAGAAAATGGTTTATTTATGATATATGTACATACATTTACATATTTATATATTAAGCAACAGTTTAAACACACATTTTTGTTGGCCAGTGTATGCTTTTCTACATTTTTCTTTTCGTATCTGCAAATGGCGCAAAGTTTTGCTGATATATCGAAAACATATATGCGTTCACGTCGCCATTTGACTCGAACGGCTTGAGAGTCATTAAATCTTTCATTTGTATTGCCAGCGCCCATTAGACAGATGATGCCAAGAAGCCAAGAGGACGGCACTGCCCAGCAGATTCCCATGCTTCAATGGGCAGCCGCAATAGGTGCCGCAGGTAGCTCTGTGGGCAAGGGGGCGTGCCACTGAAGATGGGCGACAACTGGGACGGACAGCAACAAATGTTCAAACATAAATAATCAAAAATTATTTCTATTTATTTTCATTTTCATACACATTTCTTCGTTCGTTCTTATTCGTCTAATGAAAATGGCCATGCGAACAGCTAGATAGAGTTGTCTTGCCAGCATTTTTTATGCGTTCTTGCTGGTATTTTCTAATTTCCCATAACATATTTATATGCTGCTCTGTGTATAGTATATACCTATATCGAGAGATATTTTCTAAAAATTTTCTCTGCACGCACTCAGCGCAACATTTTGATCGTTAATTTGCAAAAAGTTCTTTGAACAAAATATTTCGGATTATTTGCATTTTACATGTCATTTCCATTTTATGATATTGAACAGCTGAACGCAGATGCTTCAGACTATATAAAATTTGTGCTTGGAATTTGGCTTTTGATTCTCCACAGCTTAACACACTCTCATTGCCAATCCACCAAATGTCAGTTTAATTGTTTCACATCAGCAAGAAACGTGCGCCAATAAATTTTCAATTTTCAATTGTTTCGAACCTAAAGGCGTTCCACTTGGCACTAATGCCAAACATTTTCTTTTTGATTTTCTTCCGCCGCCGCTTTGCCACCCGTCCATCCAATTGTTTTGTTTTGAGAATTTGCTTAACATTGGACAGGCACGCGACACGTTTCCCTCTGTCTGATTTATGTCTGTTTACCAGTCCGTGGTTTTGCTTTAGTTCAGCGATTAGCCGCGGCTATTTATTTTATCGTGTCATTTTATTTATTTTTTTTCGGTGTATCAAAACATGGCGAATCATTAGCACTATAAATATCTGAAATATCAAAATCAAAATATCAAAAACGCTGACTTTTCTTTAAAAATACATCTTGAAATTTATGTTGAAAATACTTCTTGGATAAAGTGTATAACAAATGGGGCAGTAGGCATATACTATATTAATGTATATTAGGTTGATTATCAAGGCTATGAAAGCATCTTTAGGAAAATCTATATATAATATATTGGAGCTCCTCAGTTCACAGTTCTTTGAACCGACATGTTAATTGAATAAATTGCTTAAGCATTGGTTAGTTGGGTTTAAAATTTAAAAGCTTGTGAGACAAATTACATGGCATAAATACATATATACTGACTACATTAAAATTCTATTTTTTTACACAAGATCCATTTTAAAAAATGATCCTCAAACTCATAGTGTATAGATCCATCCCACCAAAACAAATCTCAAAGAATGAACTTGTTTCCGAAACATTGATACACTCAGCATTTCCAGCCCTGATATAAATTAAAGCAAAAAACATGTCAACACTTATGTATGTTTTTATTTATTGAGCAATTATTTATGATATACATAGTATATAAATAAAAGCACTCATAATTTGATAAACAACAAAAGTGTTTTTCAGCTATGAATCATGCTATTTTCCATCAGATAATTTATATTTATTGTATTTATTGTTTATTTTTGTTTTTGAAGATGTCTTATATGCGGGTAGATTTCTCTCAGAATTTGTGGCGTCTTATGTGCCAGGCCTTTAAAATTAATGATCCTATGCTAGACTTTCTATATAAGATTCCTGAACGCGAGAAGTATGTATATAAGGTGGAAAGTATTTTCGGGAATACTATATATAAATACCACCAGTCAGAGTATATAATGTGTTATAAATAGGTTTCCCAGAATATAAAATAAATTTGATTATAAGTATGGGCTCGTGCCACAGTGTGTTTGTCCAAGAGATATTCCTCCAGTTTGTTTGATCAATAGAAACTTCTCGTCAAATCTGGCACAGACGATCTCTGGATATATATATACTGCTTATATATAACCATATATATTTGTGTATATGTATCTTATACATAAGTGGCTACGAGCTAGAAAAGAGAGTGTCCTATATTTGACCTCAAAACATCCGGGACAGATATTTTCATTTTTTTGTCTTGTTTTCCTCTGGCGACTGCGTGGGAAAGTATAAAACCAATTGTAGGCGTTGCTGAAAATTTCTTCAGAAAGTCGAAAGATTACTGTGAACTCAGTTCGTGCGGAGCAGTCGCTGTGTTGAGAAGTGTTTTTAAATCGAAATTCTATACCAAGGATTATAAAAAGGATATACTAAATATATACAGTGGTTCAAATAGTATGTGAATAAACAAAAATATTTTCAAGGCAAATCGAAAAGAACTGTAATCAAAAAAAAAGAAATATTTGTGGATAAAAATATTTTAATTAGTATCCATATCCTGTTTAAAAATACTTTCGGCATTTTAATTAAAATTTCGAAATAAACTTTTTCGCCGCTTTCCAGTTCCGAGTGCAAAAACATTTGTTCCCATTAATTTTAACTGTGCTGCGTCATCAGAATTCATAAATATTTTCAAAAATAATATGTTTTTGAATACCGAAATAGATAAATTTAATAAATATTGTCACGCTAGTTCGCCTATAAAAATCTAAATTATGATATCGTTGAGGAATATTGAGCTGGGAGCATTTTTGGAAACGCCTACACAAAGTGTTGATTTCTATATACTTCATGGATATGTTTCTTTCGATGTGACCTATATAGGGCCACACCCCTTTTTTCTTGTGCTTGCTTTGAGGTTATGTTAATTGTTGAGATCGCTTGACTAATGTGAAAATATCGTTCGATTCATTTGCAGCTGAAGTCAGAATGCCAAGTGGTAAGGTAGATAAACCCATTATTCAGGATAACCGTGATGGTACGGTCTCCGTGAAGTACGAACCTCGTGAGGAGGGCTCCCACGAGCTGGTTGTTAAATACAATGGCGAGCCTGTTCAAGGTAAATATATAATTGAGATAAAATGGAATATTTTATATTTATATTTACTTTTCCTGGGACATTAGAGTATTACCCGATCCTAAAAAAAAAAAACAACGTTTTACTCATCCTTACTTATTTCTTTTGACAGGATCTCCATTCAAATTCCATGTGGACTCTATAACATCCGGCTATGTGACCGCCTATGGACCCGGCCTGACGCACGGTGTCACCGGTGAACCCGCTAACTTTACCATCTCCACCAAGGGCGCCAGCGCTGGCGGTCTGACCATGGCCGTCGAGGGACCCAGCAAGGCAGACGTAAGTTTAGAGAACAGTGTGTGAATTCAGTCATATACAATTCTATGATTTTACAGATCAAATATCATGACAATAAAGACGGCACTGTTTCGGTGCAATATCTGCCCACCGCTCCAGGTGAATACCAGGTGTCGGTGCGCTTCGGCGACAAGCACATCAAGGGCTCACCCTACTTTGCCAAGATAACAGGTGAGGGTCGCAAGCGTAACCAGATTTCGGTTGGTTCCTGCTCGGAGGTGACCATGCCCGGCGACATCACCGACGATGATCTGCGCGCTCTGAACGCCTCCATCCAGGCGCCCAGCGGCTTGGAGGAGCCCTGCTTCCTCAAGCGCATGCCCACCGGCAACATTGGCATTTCGTTCACGCCCCGTGAGATCGGCGAGCATATGGTGTCGGTGAAGCGGCTGGGCAAGCACATCAACAACTCGCCCTTCAAGGTGACCGTGTGCGAGCGCGAGGTGGGCGACGCCAAGAAGGTTAAGGTCAGCGGCAATGGCCTCAAGGAGGGACAGACGCACAGCGACAACATTTTCTCCGTGGACACACGCAACGCCGGCTTCGGTGGTCTCTCGGTGTCCATTGAGGGTCCCAGCAAGGCGGAGATCCAGTGCACCGACAAGGATGACGGCACACTGAACATCTCCTACAAGCCCACGGAGCCCGGCTACTACATTGTCAATCTGAAGTTTGCCGATCATCACGTCGAGGGCTCACCCTTCACCGTCAAGGTGGCCGGCGAGGGCAGCAATCGCAAGCGTGAGAAGATTCAGCGTGAGCGCGACGCGGTGCCCATCACTGAAATTGGCAGCCAGTGCAAGCTGACCTTCAAGATGCCCGGCATCACTTCCTTCGATCTGGCTGCCTGCGTTACATCGCCCAGCAATGTTACTGAAGACGCCGAGATCCAGGAGATCGAGGATGGTCTGTACTCGGTGCACTTTGTGCCCAAGGAACTGGGCGTATACACCGTCTCGGTGCGCTACTCTGAGATGCACATCCCCGGCTCGCCCTTCCAGTTCACAGTGGGTCCACTGCGCGACTCGGGCAGTCACTTGGTGAAGGCTGGCGGCTCTGGCTTGGAGCGCGGCGTTGTCGGCGAGGCTGCCGAGTTCAATGTGTGGACACGTGAGGCTGGCGGCGGCTCGCTGGCTATCTCAGTGGAGGGTCCCAGCAAGGCCGACATTGAGTTCAAGGATCGCAAGGACGGCAGCTGCGATGTCTCCTACAAGGTGACCGAGCCTGGCGAGTATCGTGTGGGCCTCAAGTTCAACGACCGCCACATCCCAGACTCGCCCTTCAAGGTGTACATCTCGCCCGATGCCGGCGACGCCCACAAGCTGGAGGTGCAGCAGTTCCCACAGGGCAACATCCAGGCCGATGCGCCCTATCAGTTCATGGTGCGCAAGAACGGCGCCAAGGGTGAGCTGGATGCCAAGATTGTGGCCCCATCTGGCACCGACGACGATTGCTTCATCCAGGTGATCGACGGCGATATGTACTCGGTGCGCTTCTATCCACGTGAGAACGGCATCCACGCCATCCACGTCAAGTTCAACGGTGTGCACATACCCGACTCGCCATTCAGAATCAAGGTAGGCAAGGATGTGGCCGATCCGGCTGCTGTGCATGCCACCGGCAGCGGCTTGGACGAAGTGAAGACTGGACACAAGGCCGATTTCATCATCAACACGTGCAATGCGGGCGTTGGCACACTGGCCGTCTCCATCGATGGCCCATCCAAGGTGGCCATGGATTGCACGGAGGTTGAGGAGGGCTACAAGGTGCGCTACACCCCACTGCTGCCCGGCGAGCACTACATCACGGTCAAATACAACAACATGCATATCGTGGGCTCGCCCTTCAAGGTGCACGCCACCGGCGAAAGGCTGGCCGACGAGGGCGCCCAGGAGACGTCCACAGTGATTGTGGAGACCGTCCAGAAGGTGGCCAAGGGCGGCAAGAACACTGGTGTCCATCTGCCCACCTTCAAGTCCGACGCCAGCAAGGTTGTGTCCAAGGGCATGGGCCTAAAGAAGGCCTACATTGGCAAGCAGAACCAGTTCAGCATCTCTGCCACAGATGCGGGTGAGTGACAATTGATGCAATTGGTGACATAAATATGAATTTTCTCTAAACGTATTCTCTCTGTTCAGGCAATAACATCCTGTACGTGGGTATGTACGGACCAAAGGGACCGTGCGAGGAGTTCCATGTCAAGCACGCTGGCCACAACAACTACAATGTGCAGTATCTGGTGCGCGATCGCGGACAGTACGTGCTCCTAATCAAATGGGGCGAAGACCATATACCCGGCTCCCCATTCCAGATCGATGTCTAGGCTAAGGCCAAACAATCATATATAATATATATATACACATGCATAGATATATGAACCACAACCCCTAATCCCAGCCCCATCCAATTGTTCCCGACTATGTGTGAACCGATCGTCTGTTCCAGGGTCCAAGAAATTTTGTGTTTGTCTTTGTTTAATTTTAACTCTTTGCCTATCATTACTATAAGTGATTATTATTTTTTGTTATTTGTACATAAAAATCAAGAAAAATATCAAGAAAACGAAATCAACGTATGTTTTCGACTTTAAAATAATGTTTGCGCGCCATTGTCATCAATTAAACAAAAAAATTAAAATTTAATTTTCATCAACGATTTGGTATCAACTAAATTTACTTACGACAAATATTGAAAATAAAAAGTGCGAGAAAATCTCTTAAACAATTATTTAATACTTAAGCAAACACTTATGAAGATGATTATTACGATTATGATGTATTATGTTTTTTATTATCTCTATCGACATGTAATTTACGTAAACTCAAATAAATAAATTTAAAAAATCATTATATGTTTATTTCATTGGATTTCTTTTATTGTACTTGCTTCATGTACTTATTTTTTCATTTGCCTGTGCAGAAATTATTTTTTGGTTTTTATTATCACAAAATAAAAAAAAAAAAAATCAATCTTAATTATAAATTCACAATACTGTTCCTCACATTTCAATGAATCTTACGAATAAATGTATTTAGTTGTCTTGTGTATTTTGTTGAGCTTGTTTCATACGCATAATGCACATGATATCGGAAATTCTTGCTTTAGCCTCTTCTAGGAGATCGTCGTTTAGCAAATTTAGTTCTTTGGTAATAAAACTACCAAATTGTTCTATTTGCTCTGGTCTGGTGATCGCTTCACCTAAATTGATTGGCTGTTCCATCGGCTGACCCTCCTCCATCTTCACTATCGCAAGGCTCTCTGGGTATATTAAAGAGCAAGCGTCCTGTGCATTATCCAACTGATCTGAGGTATTCCTAATTCCCAATTCATTCTCATTAGCTCGCTCTAAGCGTTTCTCGTTGTCTGTATCGATTGGCTGGTTACCAGTGAAGGAATTGTTGTAGTAGCTTGCACGCTCAGGCGAAGGACTATCAAGTTCTGAATCGATTATGTTGTCATTGGCAAAGGAATCGTTAGAGCAATCAATAAAGTTGGGCTTAGGAGAGTAATTGGTAAAGTACTCAAAAGAGCTAGGCTGAGGGCAGTATAGAGCTTTAGGTCCATGCGGCTTCGGGGTCTGTGCAGGGCCCAACATTTTGCGCATGTTGGCATAGTGAACCCACTTAGATTTATTACCAAATATATTACTCTCTTTGCTGCAAATAGAATTTACATTTGATAAGCCGCATGCGTAAATATATAACTTCAATGACCATCTTACCAAAATTTACGAATAAACGATTGCATTTTCGAGTTTACGTCATAGCATCTGATCTGAACGCCCTTGCTTTTGAGGTCTGCCGCCATTTTCTTATAAATATTTAACTTTGTTTGAGCGCTTGCTAAATCTCTGAAATATTTCTTCCACACATCCAAGAATATTACTTCCTCTTTCTGGCCCCAACATCTGCGCTTTCTTCCGGGCTTATTCACAATTGCTCTAGATGCAGCTATAGTCGAATCGTTAGTAACGAAATTTTTTTCGAATGTGACACGGGTCGTCGTTCGGGAAAACGATGTCCGCATGTCCTCGATTTCAACTTGAACTTCTGCATATTGCCTGGGCGAAAAATCATCAAATCTGGGCACATTGAAATCTGTGATTAAAATGAATATAAAATTTATTATATATTATTTATTTTTTTTATAAAGCTCACTTGAGCTGTGTGAGTCGTATTCAGTCTCAAAGTTTATGGCTGCAACTCGTTCCGGATATTCCATTATTATGGCCATCCTATCCATATGTATCCATTGTTTTGATGCATTCGGTTTTCTTATGATTCTGAGATATTGAATATATGTTAATGGTACCCTGATTAATACACCTCTGGCGATTCTCAGTCTACTATACTTACCTATTATATTTTCGCTTGAACGACTGCATTTTGGATTTTATATTATCCAGCGTGGCATACATCCCTTTATCTCTAAACTCAAAGAGAACTTCTTTGCAAACGTCTGTCTGACTTTTTCCGTTGTTCATAGCTACCAAATTATTTTGCCAGATGCGCAGGAATATGTCCTCCTCGGTGGACGTCCAAATTTTCCGCTCGCTATACACTAGAAATGTTTTTTGGATTATTGAGAATATTATATTCAATTATAACTTATACATACTTTTTGGTTGATAAATGCAGTTTCTTATTCAATTTTTGAAATTGTCTTTTTTGTTAACTGAATTTTTACTTTCAGCGTAAAATTCAAAACGAATGCTTAAGATCTCAACGAGCTGCAACGTGCAACAGCAGAGTTGCACGGTTAAGATGTTAGTATTTCTGAGAAAATACTGACATCCGTTAGTATCTCAGGCATAATACCCACATGTTGCCACACAGCCTAAAATTTCAAATGCAGTATAAAAAATAAATAAAAATTTGTTGATTTCAATCATTTTTAATATTTTTTAATTATATTCAACATAATTTATTGTGGTCTCAATAGGTCTTACTAGCTAAACTCCAATCTGTATATTTCTTCAGATTAAATTGCTTACAGCGAGAAGCTGCTTGCTATGGCAAAATGGCAAAAACGACTCGTGTGGTATTTTTTGTCGTTATTTTGATAGTTTTGCCCGTTAATTCAAAACATGATATATAAAAAAATATTGGGAAAATATCGTTGGCGCCTAGTTTAAATAATCATATTGGGTGCCTACTAAAGAAATCCCAGGTACAATGTACCAGGTACAGATAGAGGGAAAAGTCAAATTAAAATGTACGTAATTACATGGTTTATTTATTCGTTTTTAGTTAAATATGCTTTAAAACTTATTTACATGGTTGTGCACTAAGCGAATATATATTTAGTGTTACGCATTATAAAATTTATAATAGATAACTTTTACATTAACATTATTTATATATATATGAATTTAAGTTTAACTTTCGCAATACTTTGAAACTTTGCGTTAAGGACACTCCTCCGTCTACTATCCAATTAAGGCAGCACTTCGTTCATCCTTTGTGATAGCAAAAATAAAAACTAAAATTCCGAGCTCTTGGGGAGAAGTTTTTCATTCTCATTTTGTTTGTTTGTGTGTGTGTGTTGGACTTAATACAAATTTAAGATATTTAATTTAGTTTGACTTAGTACTAAATGGCTTAGTAGTAGAGTTTCAAGTGTATTTCATTTGTTAATATTTTACCCAAGCAGCATTAGGAAACAATTTGATGATATTTTCAACTTTTGACCGCCGGAATGAAATGAATTTCTTTCTTTCTTTTTCCTTCTATTTGGCTATTGTTGTGATAATAAACTATAGTTTTTTTTCTATTCAAAACAGGAACGTTGCAAGAAACTCAAAAATAATTTACAATAGACTGAAGTAGAACGAACTTATAAATTAAATAAATATACAGATACTTGCAAAAAGTAGAGGATCTATAGTCATATAGATGCTGGCTATCTTAACTAAGCTGGCTAACTTACATGTTTATATCACTTTTCGCAAATAATTCGTTTCATGTATTGATTTTGTTTTGTTTGCTAAAATTATATTGAGGCTGTTGAAGAAAATGTAGCATTTGGTTAAAAAAGCTGCGTCAATGAGGTCGTGTGGCCTAGAAGATGTTGATCTGGAACTCGCTGACAATGGCCTCGAGGAAGCCTTTGAGGCTGTCGTAGGAGTGGGTGCGCCAATAGATATTGTCATTCACCTGCTCCATGGCCAGTCCGATGGCAATTTCGACGGCCTTCAGGCCGAGCTTGCGGCAATTGGCGGCCAAGGCCTGTAGCTGCTGCTTATGATAGTCCTTGTTCATGTAGATGGTCAGCGACTTGATCATCTCCGTTATCGTCGAGAAGCCATCGCCATAGCTGCAATGCGAAATGTCAATATATTATATTATATTATATTATACATATAATTTAGATATAAGCGCAACTCACTATTCGGCTATCTCCTTGATGTTGGTCTGCAGAAAATCAAAGGCTATCTCATAGCCAATGGCATTGGAGGCGACGGCACGGAAGGCCAAGGCGCCATCCTGCTTGAGTATGCCCGACGTGGAGTTCACAGTTAAATTCAGATATCTAAAGAGCCAATAATATTTTAATTTCCATCACATATATCTGCCATTTTCTATCTCTTACTTGGACAACAGCCAGGGCTTGGTGGTGCAGCCTAGGGATGTGAGTATCTCCTCCTTCTCCGAGGCACTGTTCGTTCTCTTGTACTGTTTGTAGGCGAAGTACCACTCCGGATAGGAGCCCTCCGCCAGGGCTGTGCAATAGATGACCGACTTCAGATTGGGCTTAATGCTGTAATCGAATATTAAATTAGCTATTGACAACTGTAGTCGCTGTAGTCTGATCTACTCACGGATTCCTTTTGGGATCGCGCATCCATTCACGGAACTTCATCTGTGCCACCTGCGTGCAGCGATCGTAGTTGAATTTGCAAGCAAAGTTGGCAACCAAGGCGCGGTGCTTCAGCTGCAGATGCGACTCATTGTCCGGTTCGTTGAGTCCGTAATGATCGAAGGCCGGACGCACTATGAACTTCATGAAAGCCTAGAGGGAGCAGAGAGAAAAGTAAGTGATGAATGATGAATTATATTAAACTGAAGTTCAACTTACCCTAAAGGTCTCATAGGCTGGTTCCCGTTTCAGATTGTAGATGAGATAGTTGAGACCCGGCTTAGCTGCGCTCCACAGTAACTCATCGTCCACGGCCGTGAACAGCTCCATCAAGAAAGTCAAACTGGAATATTTTAATTAGAATTAGTTCTAAAGAAAGCTTTCCAATTGATATATTCAGCTTACGGTATATCGTATGGCAGATACTCGGCCTGCGACAGATGCAGTGCATCGTCCAGCAGCTGAGCGCGAGTGATGCGTGGCAGTGTGCTGAAGTTCTTCTTCAGAGCCAGCCAGGAGGTCATGTCGTAGTTGACCCGATAGTAGCTCTGCCGGTTCAAATTCAGGTACACAACGTTGTCGCTGTTGTTGGCGGAGGTGAAGACATCGTTGATCAGCAGCTGCTCCTGGTCCTGGGTCATCCAATGCGTGGGTATATTGTCGCCCTTGTGCAGCTCGTCCGTCTCATAGGTAATGGGTATGAACCAACGACTGGTGTCCAAGGGATTGCGAGAGGGCAGCAGATAACGCTCCTGTCGCAGCACCAAATCCGCACCATTGCGCTCCACGTGCACCACCGGGTAGCCCGGCTGTGTTATCCATGAGTCCATGATCTGTTTCACGTTCATGCTCTTGGGCAGCGTGCCTTTCGCATGACCATGGCGCGTGAGGAACGCCCAGAGATCATCGCGTGACATGTTTTCGTAGGCAAAAGTCTTCAGCAGATCCTGGGTAGCCGCACGGAAGGCCTCATCACCCACAATGGAGTTCAGCATGCGCAGCAAAATCGTGCCCTTCGAGTAGCTGATGGGATCAAAGATGCGACGCACATCGCTCGAGGTCTTCACATCAAAGGAAATGGAATGAGATGTATTGGTGGCATCATGTTGCATCGACTCCTTGAATTCCTGCCAATTTAAAAAGGAATTAGTGTGGGAATTCTGTCTACAACTGGGCGTCTACCTACCAGCACAGTGAACGTGTCCATAATCTGGAACTCGCGATGCACGTGATTGAGAGCCTTGTAGCTCATGTAACAGGCAAAGCCCTCCTTCAGCCAGAGATCGTCCCACCACTTGGGCGTCACCAGATTGCCGAACCACTGATGTGCCAGCTCATGGGCAATGATCTGAGCCACGTACTGCATGTGCTCCGACGAGGAGGCCAGCTCCTGGTCCTCGGGCACCAGCAGCGCCGAGTCACGGAAGGTGATCAGACCCCAGTTCTCCATGGCACTGAAGCCAAAGTCCGGCACCGAAACCAAATCAATCTTGGGCAGCTGATTTTTGATGCCGAAGTATTCCTCATAGTAGGGCAGGAACTTGCGCACCATCTTATATGCATAGTTGGTCATGTCCACAAATGTGGGTCGCGTCCAGATCTCCACACGCGGCTCAAGGGCGCTGTCCAGCTCACCATAGCTCGAGTCAACCATATTGGAGACAATGAAGGCCAAGAGGTAGGTGGGCATGCGGGGCGTGGTCAGGAAGTCGTCGCGTATATAGCCAAGGCGATGGGAACTGTGAGAGGAAGAGTTTAATATGATTTGGGATTATTAAAAAATTCGAGCCAGTTCATATTCATTGCGCTTACCTGCTACGATATTTGGGCATGTTGGACAAACACATTGTCTTCTTGGTATCCCGAACGATGCTGACGGTGAAGTTGGCTTTCATGTCGGGGCGATCGAAGCAGGGGAAGGCGCGTCGAGCATCAATGGGCGAGAACTGAGTGCTAATGACCCATCTACAAAAGATGAGGAGGAGGAAGAGGAGGAGTATAGAGATAAAGGTTTTACAAGTTATGATATCTGCTTTACTTACTGCAACTGTTTCGTATCCGGATTGGTGTAGCTCGTCTTGTAGATGCCCTGCAGCGTGTCTGTCACCTGGCTGACGAAGTCCAGGCTCAGCAACACTCGCAGACTGGACTCCACTGCCAGAGCCTTGTCCAGCCTAATCACAAATGTGGCATTGCTGTCCCCATAGTCGCTGTCGAAGTCCAGATCCACCTCATCGCTCGCATTGCCAACGGGCGCTCGTATCACGCGCACATTAGAGATGCTCACATTGTGCACGTCCAGTACAATGGGCTCCCAGCTGCTGACCTTGGCATCACGTTCGATTTCAATCGACAGACTGCCATTGTTAGTGGATGTCTCGACATTTGGCTCGATGACAATTCTGCAATGGGTCGAAAGGTTCGGTTCGGCATTATTCAGTAGCCAACTATTTAAGTGCAGGTGCAAATAGTTCTCTAATCACTGCCAGAAACGACAAGACGCCTCAATCAAAACTGCCAATCAATCAGCACAGCTCAGTGCGGGTCAGGCAATCACCGAGATATGTCGCATTGCAGCTATGGCGTTTGTGTTAATTATTCGAACGGGGATCTAAACTGTAATTGCGAGCTACAAAATGCCACTAGAGCAAATGATGTGAAAAGGCGGGTGTGAATGACCGACACTCTATTGCTCTGTAGATCTAAATATTATCACTGGTTCTAACTGATAAACGTAAATTTTAAGTAGTTCTCCTAAAGCTGCCTAGAAATGTTTTCGTAAACAGGAAATGTTGGACTCGCAAAAATTACAGAACTGCAACAATACATACAACAAGTTAATTTCAAGTTCCACTAATAAATATTCTTTGTCTTTAGTCTTGGCAATCTAAGGTGGCTAAAATAGTTCTCCTAAGTTCCCAACGTCAAGTGCTAGAGTATCAAATTGAAGATCA